TTCCGGGACGTCGGGTCAGTCACAGACCATCGACTCATATTGTACGGACGACGAGCTCACGGCAGGGCCGTTGTCGATCGTGATGGATGGGTCAACCCTTCTCAGAGCGCGTTTGGTTTCTGGAGAGACATATTGGAAGTCACCCGCAAACACCACCATAAGGACACGCAAGATCGAATTGGATACACCCTTAGGTCAGTTCAAATAAGAACACGAGCATCTCCCCAAAGTCTGACGCTGATAGTCTACGGAACCAACGGCTTGTGGCTGGTTAGGGGAACGTCGTTTTGTGGAATGATCGTCGCCAGGTTTCCCGGATGTCCTAGTGCCTGTATCATAACAGCCGAGCAAATCATCAACGGTATGGATATGTCCGATCTGAGGCCTTTTGGCGTGGAGTGCTCCCGCAAAGACGAAAGTGCAGAAATGAATACAGCAATGGGTATGGAGCGAAACGAGGGGAGCAGCAGCTAGATGGCTTAGACCCTTGCATTCTCAGGCCGTATTCGTGCCTTATGCCGATAGATCCTTTCTTTAGTCTACCAGTTGAGAGCAGTACCATCCAATGATCAAAATTGTCTTGTAGTTCAATTGATGCCAGAAACACATGGGGCACTTCCCACACCGACACATCTGGCGGAGCATTCGAACAAATACAATAGGGACGATGATGGTCGTCATCAGGCATGAGTTCGGGACGAGAAGTATCACCACTCCCTTTGCGGCCATGGAGACATAAGAACAACGCCACTTCTTCTCTCAAATGGACCTCTTGCCCGAGCTTACTCCAGCGGTCTGTTTCTATGTTCGGACAAGTAGGACCCTTTTAGGTGATCCGTCTCGTATGTGATGCAGACCGCTGACAAAGACTGTGGTTCCCAGAGCCAAAGGGCATGACATTTGCGAGGTGTGCTTCGTGGAGTGCTCGCCCGAACGACGAATAGGTCAGGGACACCCCATCATGCAATCTGGCTGCTAGTGAGTCTGTGGTCACCAGACATAGCCCGCAGGCTAGTCCCCGCGCTGGGAGTCGACTTCCATCCTGAAATACTGCGGTTGGCTTGGAATCCAATCTTGTTCGCTACCTAGACTCGAAACCATTGCTCCCTCAACGTAGCCCTGCGAAGACGAATCTCCATCAGTCACTGCAACTGTCAAAAGATCCCTCATGCACAAAGAAGCACTGCCTACGTTTCTCTGCTTGTAACTGCCTTGTAAGTGAAGCTTTGCTGCGTTCCAAGTACATCACCTTCTCTTCCAAGAGACCCACATACTCTTCCAAAAGAGCTTTATGTTGGTCTGAGGCGATGTTTCTCTCTTTTAATTCGGCATTTTCCTGCTTCAACGTTGTGCATTCATGTTTAGTCTCCGCCACCTGGCTATGTAGCTGTTGGAATGGCCCTCTTGGGCCGTCCGGTCTATTCGGCAGCTTTGGCAACCGATTCTGCGACATCTGCCGAAGCTCGCAATCGCGGCTTGGTGATGGCGCATGGCTTGAGGGATTCAACCTTTCGCCGGCAGGTCGCGAGCCCAGAGCACCAGAGCTGACGTCGAACGTCGTCGGTAATCTAACGCCACCGTTCTTCATTTGCGTCAATACCTCTGGGGCGCTGAATACAGTAGAATTGAAGTGTTCGTTTCTACCCCAACCGGCGCTCTGTAGCTTCATCAAGCTTTCGGACTTGTCTTCCAAGTTGACGTGATCCTCTGCGTATTCTTTCACCTCACTACCACAGCGTTCGTACGAATCTAGAGATGTGAGCCTTGTGCGAGGTGTCTATAACGTCACGCTCACGAACCTTGTTGTTTGAGACCATAGAAGAACGTAAA